TTTGAACGGAAATATTAATTTTCTAAGATGTCTCTTACGAAGATGACAAGTCAGATTATTAAAAAAGTTTGGCCATAATCTAGGTAAAAGAATTAATATTACTATATATGAAAGCCTTTGGCAGCATTATTTTTCATACCTGTTGAACCAACTAAAAGCTTAAAGAGAATTAATTGACAAGAATGCAAATGACAGACTTTTTCTTCTGTCGTAGAATGTCTTTGAAATGGTTGATTCATAATTAAAAGTAGTGTTCTTGTATCATTCATAGAAATTAAACGTATTCAGTAGAAGAATGTCATCAAACAGTAGTACTACTATAGATTTCACCGTTCAATTTCAACTTGCTTCCCAATATTTAAGTCTCAGTTTGGGTTTATTCTTATTTATAACTGGCATAGTAGGTAGTTTCGTCAACATAGTTGTGTTTCTCACTCTTGGTAATTACAAACACAATGCTTGTTCTCTTTATATGCTTGTTGGGTCATTGCTCGATTTTTGTTTTGTTTTCATTGGCATGAGCACACGAATTCTCACTCTTGGTTTCAAAATGGATTTCACTTTATCAAGTCAAGTTTGGTGTAAACTTCGAACGGTTATACTTAACACAATTAGTCTTAGTTCATTTACTATTATTTGTCTTCAATCTCTTGATATATTTTTCTGTACATCACGATCTATTGTTGTGCGCCAAAAAAGTAGTGTGAAATGGGCTCGACTGTTACTCGTTGCTTGTGGATTGGTGTGGATTGTTCATGAAATCTTAACAATGATTTTCCAAGATCTTGTTAAAATAGGAAGTACATATTCGTGTATAAACACAAATACAATCTATGCATCATATCGTAGTTACTTTGTGGTTTCTATCTTGACTGTGACTATTCCAATACTAATGATTAGTATCCTTGCTTTTCATATTTATCGGCATCTACACGTTCTAACACAAGGTGAACAGCGCTCATTCTCCAGTCTGACAAAGCAATTAACAAAAATGGCTTTATTTCAAATTGGTAGCGTATTATTGTTTCAAGCTCCTTACGGCATTTCATCAATCTATTCACTTGCTACAACATATGTTGCCAAAACTACTTATCGTCAGGCACAAGAAAAGTTGATTTCAAATTTTTTTGGTATCTACGTTTATGGCATATATGCGGTAAGTGATGAGTAGGACAACTCATATCCTTTTCACAATTAAATATCGATTTACTCATTAACACTCCTAATGTGTTTTTCTTTGATATAAGATCACCAATCTGTCAATTGAAGTAGTAATTTTCTTTTCTGTTTTAGAGTCCTTTCTACTGCTATTGTCTTGCATCAAAACGATTTCGTGATCAAGTTCTTTGCGTTATCAATAAAATAAGATGTAATAAACAACGAAATCAAGTATTGCCAATAATGCAAGATATCATTAAACCTGCTGGTCGCCCTCAAACAACTACTGTTTAAAATGGCAAATTTACATTTTTTATTTTTGTATCTCTTGTTTCGTTATGTGATGTATCTTCTTTATTCGTTGATTATGAATCTTGATGTATTTTATATAAAATATCTAATTACTGTACAAGTTGATATCTAAAATTATTTATATTTAAAGAATTGTTGAATAAATTTAACGGATAACATTTATTCTTTAATGGCAAATTTAAAAATTAATGAATTAGAAAACGGTTACTTAGATTTGAAGATGAAGAAAAATTTGCTCATAATTTAATAGAATTAATAATGTACATATTAAATGACGGTATCTATATTCAAATTTAAATACAATAAGTCAAACAAAAGAAAGTACAGTCTTTTGTTTGTATATACTCAAAGTACATTATATTTTTCAATAAAAAAAGAAAACTAGATACTGATGAAAGATAGTATATGAGATATTTGATAATATGCTGTGCTACTGTCAATTATTTTTATTTGAGTGAATAAAATAAAATGACTTGATCGATACATTATATCTGATTATTTATTAAAATCATTTCTTTCTTTCTTTTTTTCTATAACTAAACTTTTTTTCTGATCAATTGCATTAACATATTCATATTCCCCATATGGAAACAAGAAAAAAAAGAAAGACTATTTCGTGACACGACAAATGGTTTCACAGCTACCAGATGGCCATCGAAGAAATAAAGAGCAATTCTACTCAACAATCATAACTGTTTCTTTTTCTTCTAGTGAGTAACGTTGTACATCAAAGAAAAAATTAAGTAAAAACAAGGTGTGTCATTGCTTTCGATAGCCATCTGTTATCTCATTCAATATACAATATATCCACTGAATCAGTTCGATCCATCCCATTTTTTTTAGTGTTCTCTTGAGAAATGTATACATAGATCACATTCTTTTTCACGTCAAAATTAAAAACACAACAACCAAAAAAAATAAAAAAGGAACGAGAAAGACAAAGCATCGAGGGACTCATCATTGTAATCTATTGTAATACAGGTAAATTGATTGATGAGAATATTTTCCTTTTTTATTTTCTTTTTCTTTCCATCTGGTGGTCATAAATAAATGTAAAGACAAACGAGAAAAGCAAAATTGTTATTTTTTGTTTTTTTCCATTGCTTGAAGCTATTCGCCGACAAAATGATTGGTACAATCTTTTGATTCGTTTTCTCCCGTCTCTAATACTGAATGTCAATATATCTTGTTAGAAAAGCTTATGTGTGTCTTATCTTAATAACAATAACATTACCAGAAAGAGTGACAAATATAGAAAAGGAAACCGAAGAGTAATCAATACGGTCGAACAATTATGATAAGCAATAGTCTGAAGTGTCATCTGAGAATACTCTCACAAACGGACAATGTCATATAGACATAGCAATAGTAGTCTTCAAATCGATTGATGACGTGACGAACATGAATGAATGTTTAGGGCGTGTTTCATCCATTATCATCATCATCATCGTTTTCATCGCGACAGACAAGAAGCAGAAATAAGATCACAAATAGTTTTTATAAAAGAAAAAGAAAACGTTCCATCTGGTCTTTTTTCTCATTTGAACAAAAACAGTTCAGAACTAGTTTACTTCAAGCAAACACATCATCAGTCGTCAAATACACACACACACATATATACCTTTTTCTTCCGATTCGATGTGTAACAATGTATTAAAAATTGATTCGCTTTTTTCACCTACACACGACTGCATATGTTTATGGAAGTGCCTTCAGGGCAAGTATACAAGAATAGTGTTTGAAATTAATGAGAAACGGAAATCTAACATCTCAACAAGTATCTAGTAAATAAGATCAAAGAGAAATGAATGATGAGTACATATTGAAAAAAAAAATAATTAACTTGTAAAATAATATTCATATGACCTACTTATTCATACAAATAAAATGTTCTTAACATTTTAATCATTTATTAGATAATTAATCTAATATTTTTTTTTTATAAATTTAATAGACACACCACTCAATAAATTATCTCCCATCTCGATATATTTTTTGTTTCATTGATGTAAAGGAAAAACCTGATGAAAAAGAAGTAGTAAATGTCGTGTTTTTTTTTCTTCTTCTTCTTCTTCTTCGTTCTTTTGTATTCACATATTCTTTATTTAACATGCAGGGAGAAGTAATAATAAAAAAAAAGAAGAATGGAATATAACGTGAATAGTTGATGATGCTTGTTGTGCACCGTTCATTTGTTTAAATGGGCTCTTACGAGTATTAACTTATTTATATCATTTTTTCTCATTGCACGACAACAAAAAAAAACGAAAGAATATATAAGAGTTCAATTGAATTAAAGCAAGAGAGAAGATAATACTTCTATAGAACAAAAAAAAAGAAAAAGAAGAAGAACATCCAACTGATCGTCGCCTTGCGTGTCGCTTGCGCTTGGGGAAATCTTCTCTCTTTACTTTGTTAAAGATGACAGACAGATGTATGAATATTGTTTTTTATTCATTGGTTGATGAAAATAATGTTTAACCAATAGAAAAATTTTTCTTCTTCCCTTTTTTTTTCTTCTTTGCAGGTAAATTTTCTTTTCTCTCATATTTAATCACAGAAAAAAAATGAGCTCTTTCTCATTTTTTATTTATCATTAATCACTCACGGAATGAGCGTTAGTAACACATAAGAGAAGAAAAAAAAAGAAAAACTCATACTTTTCATTATTATAACTAAGAGAAATTCATAGTAGTAAAAGACTCGCAATAACAACTATTCAACACATTGATTATATCTTTCTCTTTCTCTCTCTTGTGTGTGAGTGTGTGTGAATATTGAAAAATTATTATGATCGAATGCATTTCCTCTTCTTCTTCTTTTTAACTATGTATATATTTATTTATTATTTAGTACATTCATAGAAAAACATCAACAAAGATATATAATTAGTGAAGTGTGTCAAGATTTATTTCGATTCATTGATAATAATAATGAAAAGTTAACAGACAAGTAAATTATTGATTAATACAAATCAATATTATAAATAAAAAAATGCTGACAAATACAAATACATCATCTATTGAACAAGGAACAACAAGTAAACTTTCATTTCCTAATACATCAACAGGTATAATAAATTCAAATTCAATTGGAAATGCAAATAGTCGTTATTCACCAAGTAATTTCTATCGAGCTGCAGCTGTAGCTGCGGCAACAAGTGATCCTAATAATCGACGATATATGCCAAGTACACCGGTATAATATTAGATATATTTTTTTCTAATATAAAATTACGAATTATTTTCTTTTTAGTGGTCAAAGTCGAATTGTTTTGGTGAAAATTTTAAATTTGAACCAAATGTAAATTTTTTTACGAATAATGAAATAAAATTTATCTAATATTTTGTTTTTTTTTAGAGTTTATTTTGTTCAACAATTGATGATAATTTTATACGTCAAGCTGAAGCATTGACAAAACCAGAATCATCGTCACTTTATTATCCATCACCATTTGCTTGTTCATCTGCAAATGCAACAGCATCATCCTCATCTTCAACAAATGCCTATCCTGGTTCATCATCAATAGAATCTCATCTTTTATCTGATCATAATCAACATAATCATCATGCACAATTTAATTCTGATTTACATCCATTTTATCAACGTCAATATGCTGCAGCTGCTGTCGGTGTTCTACCCGGTATGGTTGTTGGTATGCATCATCATAGTGTTGTTGGTAGTCTTGTACCATCACATGAACTTGATGTTGATCCACGTGAACTTGAATCATTTGCTGAACGTTTTAAACAACGTCGAATAAAATTAGGTGTTACACAAGCTGATGTTGGACATCAATTATCGAAATTAAAAATGCCTGGTGTTGGTTCTTTATCTCAATCAACAATTTGTCGATTTGAATCACTTACATTATCACATAATAATATGGTTGCATTAAAACCAGTTCTTCAAGCTTGGTTAGAATTTGCTGAAGCAGAAATGAGACAAAGAAAAAAAGATGAAATGAATGGAACTATGATTGGTTTAAGTGGACATATTAGTTCAAGTGGAAGTTTAATTGATAAAAAACGCAAACGTACATCAATAGCTGCACAAGAAAAACGTTTTCTTGAATCATGTTTTATTCAACAACAAAGACCAAGTGGTGAACGTATTGCACAAATAGCAGATAAACTTGATTTAAAAAAGAATGTTGTACGTGTTTGGTTTTGTAATCAACGACAAAAAAATAAACGTTTACGATTTGCTGCTGGACAATCAGCTTAATATTAATATAAACATTAGAATAAACAAAAAAAAAGAAGATCAATCAATCCGTCCATTTCAATGAGTTTATATATATTCATTTTGTTTTTTTTTTCTTTTCGTCGTTCATTTTAGCTGTTGTCTCTTTTTCTCTTTCTCAATATTGTTGTCATCTTTTTAGCAGTTAATCTTTATTTTCTAGCACAAAGTGTATATTCTTTGTTCTATAACAATATTGATCAATTTAAAACTTTACTAATTTTATTTTATTTTTTATAGACAACTAATTGACAGCATTTATTCATCTAATCAATGACATGTACAATATATATATATATATTCTAATTAGAATTTTCTGTTATAGAAGAAATATGTTGCTGTTTTCCTATTCGTTGAATAAACTCGATAATAAACATTTGTAGACGTACATCTTGCGGTTTATTTGTAGCATGCATACACGATACACCAGCTTTTTCTAATCTTGTTTGTTGTTCTAACATTTTTTGATCAAGATCTAAAACTATTTTCATATCAAAACGTTGTTGTTCATCAGCTACTCGTTTAACAAAAGCCTATTAAATTCAATTACATATTTATATTTAAGAATCTAAATTATACTTCATATTCGCGTTTATTTGCTGCTTGAAGTAGATTTAAATGTTGTGGTCTATCCGCACAACGAGCTTCATCTTCTGAATGTTTTCGAGTAAGATCAGTTTCTTGTTCTAAATAAAAGTTGAATGTTTTTGTTTAAAATTGATGATTAATTACCTTTAGCTTGTTTAATTATTTTTTGTCGTTCATTAAATAAAGTTTTTTCAGTCCGTGCTTGAGTTTCTTGAAGATTATTAACAATATCAAATATATTTTTATCCAACGATATTGTTATTAATTTTTCTATTAGATCATCTTTTTCAAAACGTTCTTGTAATTTTCTAGATAATTAAATTAATTTTAAAACAATACAATACAAAATAATTTTCTTACGGTGGTAATTCAGTTATCATTAATTTTAATTGTTCTGATATTTGTTGACGATTCATAGTTTCCTATGTAAATGTCTAGAATGATTGAAAAGTTACATAGAAAATAACTTCCTCAATTTGTTTTCAATGAAATGATCATATGTAAAAAAACATTCTTTTACTTTGTAGCTTTATTAGTTCTAGTTTGTCATTTAATAAGTTCTATATAAAATTAATTCTTAAATAAAATTTATTAAATTATTAAAAAAACGTTACAAATACGGTTAAAAATATAAAAAAATTATCCGTAATACCAAATTGTCGTTAGAAAAATATCTAATTCTAGAAGATTTTGTTATATAAAAAGAAACATTAGTAATTTGAGCGAAAGACACTGGTTATTATCCTGATTAAAAAAAAATTAGAAATTAGAAAGGAAGAGAGGTTAGAAGATTAAGAGAAATAATAAAAGCACCGTCGAAAGGTTTGTATGATAGAAATAAAAGAAGAATTGAATTAAAGTTTGGTTGTCATCGATTGAGCTCTTTCTGATTTATGTTCACGCTATAAAAATAAAATGAATTAGATTAACAAATAGTTCTTCGTCTTCTTACTTCACGTCGGAGAGCTTGACTTGATTCATAAAGAGTTTTAGCTCGTGCAATTTCAACTTCATGTGGAACATCAGGTATAGCAAAATCAATTGCAAATTTCAATGTCAATAATATATGCTAAATTAAAGAAGTTAATACAAAAAGAAAAACATTAGAATTAAATTAAATATACTTCAGCTGCAACAAATATTATAATATATTCAACATTACTATATGATGAGAAATATTCTCGAACTGATGGTTGCATTGCAATCAATGCTGTATTAGTAACAATTGCAATTGAACTTAATATATCAAATGCATGATGCCAACTACCAATATTATTAGCTGGTTGAGCAAATGGACGTTGATAAACATAACAATATTTAAAAGCATCAGCACGAAGTTCAAAAATATTATTTATTAATCCACAAAGTGCTACCCACGGAAATACCTAAAAAAGAAATAATATTTAAATATAATTACAAGAGTCATGTATCTGATTTCTAGAGTTCAGATAGTTCGATAGAATGGAATAATCCAAATGATAAACCCACACCCACCCCCAAGGGCTAAGGATAGAATATCATATGGAGGGTTTTCAATTACTTCAAGCGATACCCTTGTCAATTTGAAATAGTAGAAAAGATTAATTAACTTACGGCTGAAAATAAAGCTATATAACCATACTGTTCAAAAATAGTTAAATAATCTCCATATGTTCCCTAAATAGAAAGAAAATAGTTTGAATATTATGATTATATACGATTTCTAATTACTTCAAATGGTGTTAATGTTTTAATTTGTTGACGAACTTCGCTAACTTTTTCTACTGATTGACCTTTTAATTGACTCTTCTTGAAAGTTTTAAGTATAAATGGTACAACTTGTTCGGTAAATTTTAATATAATAGCATTAACAATAACTAATGTTGTAAGTAACTAAAATAAATATATGTATAATCATAAGAAAAATTTTTTTTAATATATACTTGGACAACATTGGCATAATTAACATTAAAAAATGCTTCATAAAATAAACCAGCAAAACAATTGACAAAAAAGAAAATAAATAATTTTGATGTTAAATTATTTTCATAGGCTGTTTGAAGACGATGATTTTCTAATAAAAATAAAATAAAATTCAGATGAATTTTGTTTTTCGTTCATACCATAATCTGTTAAAAATGTTGCTAATTTTCTATAGAATAATTTTATTGGAATAACTGCTAATGAATAACAAGTTGATGGTGCCATACGCATAAGTTTAGTTTCAAGTGGATTTTTAGGATTTTCTAATGGATATTCAGCATGCATTTTCTTTTGTGTTCGATAAAATGTGAAATATACTGTTAACGATCCTATTAAACATCCCATAATTATTGGGTAACTAACGAGATATTTTTTCACTTGTCGTTTCCATCTAAATTATGATAAAATCTTATTTTTAAGAGAGAATCACGATACTAAATTATATTCTTACGCTGGATATTGTCGTTCGATTTTATCGGTAATTGGAGAACGATGTAAATCTCCAAAATAACGTGAGCGCGGTCGTTCAAATATTTGTAAATCAAGTGTACCCCATTCATATGCTAATTTATTTGTTAAACGTTTCCATCGTTCCATCTAATACATATATCTTATTATTAACAAAATCAAATACATAATAAATACTTACAAATACTGTCCACCATATAACATTAAAGAAGCAGAAAAATGAATATTTGAAAAAATCCGATGTTGGTGTAAAACTAAGTAGAAGACCTTAAACAAAATATAACAATAAAGTGAAAGAATAAACACATAAGGGACTAATATTAAATTATAAGGGGTACATTTAATATATTACTGAAAAACATATATCTATATTTAAATGACAACAAATAGTTATACCAGAATCTTTATTATGATGACATGTGAATAATTTTGATTAATATTTTTTCTTCTATAATATGTAAGACAAAAACCTTAGAAAATCAACTGATGATAGTGATAAAATACAGTTTCATTTATACTGATCACTATTCTAGAGAGTAGCGTTTCCCGAATCTTTCTTTCAGATAATTATTCTTACCAAGTACAGCTGTTGGTACGAGAGCTTTTGTATAAAACTCTAAGAATGCAAAATAATATGCGACATTTTCACCAAAATAATTTCGAATTTTATCTAAATTATTTTTAAATAATGAATATACTTGTTATTTATTTATTTATTTTTTAATTCTTACGAATATCCTGAGATTTAAACATTGAAGTTCTTGATGCAAACCAATCATATTCAAGTAATTTAATATCTTCTTTGTCATGTAATGGAAAAAAATTCACAAGATAATCATGATCAGTTAAAATGTTAACTAAAGAGAAAACAAAAAAAATTAGAAAAAAAAATAAGTTTTGTTTTCATGCATTTTTACATACGGATAGTATCATTTTCAGGTACAAATGTCTTCTTTCGAATACCTGGTACAGTTGTTTCATGTCTTGCTGGATGTAAATTTTGTATTTCTTCATAGATAATACGTTGTTTTTCCGATTTATATAAAATATTTGACGGATTTTCTAAAAAAATTTCTATGAATTATTAAACAACTTAACAAAAAAACAATTTTTTTACCTGAATTTTCAAAATGTTCAATATCCGCAACAATAAAATCGGTTAGACCTTTATTTTTATACCATTTTTGTATCCGTATTTCTTCTGCTCCTGCCAAAAGACGATCAAGTGTTGCACCAATTACAATTATACTATCCTATAAAATAATAAATTCAAAAAACCTTCTAAAATGATCAATATAAATTAATTCTACAGAGCATAAATAGAAAAAAAAATGTTATTATTATCATCGATAGATTCTTCAACTAAAAAATATTAGTTACGTAACTAGCGATCGTTTTCTAAATATGTTTTGAATGAAATTAGTATTCATTAGCTTGTTGTTTTTAATATTTATTACTAAGTCAATATTAATAGATCTGTTATCAATTACTTTATAATCTGACAGTAGCTACTTATTACCATGTATAATCTCGTCCAGTTGTTTTTCTTTCTTGATATGTATTTTTATTATTCGTATTAACGTCTACCCACGTATTTTTCTACTTCATTAATTTATTACTGTTTCATCATTATTATAAATCATATACTCAATCCAGATAATTATCTATTATTCAATATTTTTTTATAGTAATAACATGTGTATTTCTATATAATTACCAACGTTCAGATGTTGATCTAGCCTAATTATATAACATCGCAATTAAACAAATGTCACAATGACCTAAACTAACAACCGAATAATATATATTGCAGTTCAAGGACACTTAATGTACGAAGGTTAATTTAGAGGTATTTTCGTGAGACAATTGAGTTTAACGCATAATCTACTTATAATATGGTTAATCAGAGATTTTCAATCTTCAATTTTGAAGATTCAAAGACCTTATTACTAATTGTGATACCTTCATCCTCATTCTAAGATATGCGACAGAAAATTGAAATGACACACATATAAATATTAAAGTAATCAGTCTAAAGCATAAGCAAAAACTGTACAATGTCAATGTCTTAAAATACAAGGCATGTAAAAACTAGAACAAAGAAAAAAATCGTTAACTATATTGATTCATCAACTATTAATAAGAAAAATAGTTATGCAAACAAATTCAATGTCTCTTCACCGGAAAATATAATTAAATGTCAATAAATCAAGAAACAAACTTTAATTATAATATAAGCAAAAAGGTTTACACTAAAGCATTGAATATGAGATCAAATGAGTATATGATGACCTGCAGTTTTATATAAAGTAGAGTATGATCTACAAAACTAGCCACTTATCTAATCTAAATTTTTTTAATAAGAAAAACAAATATTTTACTTGATTTTCCGGGGTATGTTCATAGCGGGCAAGTAAACCAGAACCTTCATCTTCAGTATGACTTGAAGTTAATCGTTTAATAACCCAATCTTTGGTAATTGTTGGTGTTGTTGGTGAAAATTGAAGAACCACAAGAGGCTCAAAACTGTCTTTATCAGTATAAGACATTTGTTTACGACAATATAAAACAACCACACTCAATTACTGATTGCAAAACATGTATTATTAAAAAAACAAGCTGTATTATCAATCACTCTCACATTTGATTCGTCATCTATTATCCAATTAGATAAAAGAATTAAATAAGAATTATTTATTCTTATTTTATTTAAGATACAATCTATTTTCAAAATATTTCTAATTTTAAATAAATTATTTTCGAAGATAAATTCCTCCGATCAAATTAATCGTCAATCCATAATTTACCATTTACTATAAAATCCTTTACATATGTATAAACATATTTTATTCATCTTTAAAGTTCTTTTTCTTAAATAACAAAAATTATCTGCATATGATGTTAATTTATATAAGACAGATTAGTCTGATTTATTTTGAAAGATAATTTTTTATAGCTGATGCAGAATTATTTATTTTATTGTCCAATGATGATAAATGACGACTGACGAGCATTTTAATCGTAAGACGAACTAACAACTGCTTAATTTATTCGATGAAAAAAAAAACCTGTTTTTTTTCTTATTAAGCAGCAGTTCGTTCGCCTTATTGTTTGTGGGCTCACGTGATATTCGATTATGAGATCTGAGGACAATAGAAAAAAAAAAATTATATGAATTTTTTCGTTTTTTTTGTTTTAGATTGACATCTGACAATGAAACATAATAATGTTATTCCAAATGCTCACTTTCATAAAAAGTGGCAATTACATGTTCGTACTTGGTTTGATCAACCAGGTCGTAAAACACGTCGTCATCAAAAACGTTTAGCTAAAGCTCAACGTGTTGCACCTCGACCAGCAAAAGGTTCATTACGGCCAGTTGTTCGTGGTACAACACGTCGTTATAATATGAAAGTACGTGCTGGACGTGGTTTTTCATTGGATGAAATATGTGCTGCTGGTCTTCATCCAACTTATGCACGAACAATCGGTATTTCAGTTGATCATCGACGACGCAATAAATCAACTGAAGCTTTTCAAGTAACGAAAAAATCAATTTTTATTTTTACTTAAATAAAATATATGTTTTTTTTAGCTTAATGTTCAACGTTTAAAACAATATCTTGGTAAACTTATCTTATTTCCATTAAAAGCTGATAAACCAAAGAAAAATGATGCTAAACCCGAAGAAATTAAATTGGCTACACAACTTAAGAAACAAAAAGTTATGCCAATTAAACAACGAGTACAACGTGAAAAAGCTCGTCCAATTAATGATGCTGATACTAAATTCAACGCTTATCAAGCTTTACGTATGGCACGTGCTGATGCTAAATTAATTGGACAACGTGAAAAGAAAGCTAAACAAGCAGCTGAAGATGAAAAGAAACCTAAAAAAGAGAAATGAGCATTTTCTTTTGTTTTTGTAACCGTATATTTGGATCAAAAAGAATCGAAATAAAAAGAAAAAAAAAAAGTAACATTGAATCGACAAAATTTATTGTCGGTAAAATGAAATATTATCTATAGGAGAAGAAAAAAAAAACAACTACAACAATAATTCTTATTTTTTGTTTTTGTTTGTTTGAAAAGAATCAAGTATCTTCTTTCTTTTTATAGATTTCATGAATCTTTTAATATCTCGTCATATTCTACGACCTTTTTTATCAAAACATTTTCTTTATAATCATATATTACCAACAATATCATCTACTAATTCTTCTTCTTCTCTAATTCTAAAACGTTTTTCATCATCATCATCTAAGAATGATAATAATAATAATAATATAGAAAAATTAGAAAATAGAAAAGATTTTGAAGAAAAATTTAAAAAATTTGAACGTAATGAAAAAAATCAAACAGTTAATATTGCACTTTATATGGCTTCAATGGCTGTTCTTATGCTTGGATTAACTTATGCATCTGTACCACTATATAAAATGTTTTGTGAAGCAACAGGTTTTGATGGTATTATAAGAAAAAGTGAAGATGATGATATTATATCAGCTAATGTAAGACAATTATCTCAACGAACAGATAAAGCACATCCATTATTACGAATACATTTTTCTTCTACACCATCATCACTTTTACCATGGACATTTGAACCAGAACAACGTGAAATCTTTATAAAACCAGGTGAAACAGCATTAGCTTTTTATCGCGCAAAGAATGAATCGAATCGACCTATTATTGGCATAGCTACATACAATGTTCAACCATCACAAGCAGCTTTTTATTTTAATAAAATTCAATGTTTTTGTTTTGAAGAACAACGTTTAGAACCAGGTGAAGAAATTGATATGCCAGTCTTCTTCTATATTGATCCTGATTTTGTTCGAGATCCTAGTTTACAAGGTGTTCATGATATTAGTTTATCTTATACATTTTTTGAAAGTAAAGGTACAGAACATTTAGCTTTAATGGGTGGTGATCCATCAGTGGCTCATGTTAGATTAAAACCAAGTGAAACATTACCATATGCACATAGACATAATGATAAAGTTAAAGCTCTTTCTTCATAGTTTTATTTATGTGTATATCTATAGGATGTTTATCTTCTTCTTTTTTTTTAATATAAAAGATGGCTTGAATAATTATATAAAAAAAAAGAAACATTAAAATCAGTTGAAAATTATTTCATTTCAATATGATCTTTTTTATTCATTAAATTTATAATTGCAATACTAATACAGTTTATCTTCTCAAAATCAATAAGAATGAAATACTTAAATGATCGAAAAAGTTTATTGCATTTAATATCTGTCGACATTATGATACTTCTTAATTTTGATTAGTATTAGTATTATTTCATGTATTATTGCAGTTTATATAATAGAATAAAATATATGAAACAATTTTCCGTTCCTTGAGATTTCTAATAAACAAGTAAGAATTACTCTATTTTAATTGAAACGATATTTGTTTTACTTGTTATATGACAAAGAAGAATTAATACTCTTTCAAGTAATGTATGCTACCTATATATTTAAGAAATATACGTATGCTATCAACTATGATTACATTGAATTATTCACTTTGGTATATTAAGTTCAAAGTTTCAATTGTTCATTCGCAACAAGTTTTTCTTCGTTCAATTAGTTTATATAGAAAAATAATTGATCGTCATTGAATATTATGTCCATTTCTTATATTATCATTGACATTAAATGAACAAATTCTTTGTCAATTGATTTTTTTTACAACCGATCTGGTTCCAGTGCTGATATAGGCTGATAAATAATGAGTTTAAAGAACTAATTGTCAGTCAAATTTGAATCACTCAAAATTTTGATGATATGATAATAGGAATAGAATGAAAATTGTATCTGTTTTGTTTATATTCTTCAATAACCAGCTCTGAAAAGATCAGTAAAATGAACTATATATGATTATCTTTCTATTTCTCTTTGTTTCGTTCACTCATACAGACCTTTTCATTGCTCGTTTATTAAAAACTAAAATAATAAGTATTTGAGGATGAAAAACTTTGCTTTTTTGCAAATAAAGTACGTGACACTGTCGTATTCTCTTTCGGGTGTCGAGAGAAAGTCTTCTGATCAACTCCTATTTTTTAATGAAAAAATCTTGCTTTCTTAAATTTGGATTTTGCAATCCTGCCATCGACGTTTAATTAATAGTGATAATATGTATCTATTACAATATATTACTCTGACGACATTGATTTTAATCATATCATGTCTTATATTGAATATTTACATATAGCAAAAATTCCTTATACTCAAAAAATAGTATGTACACATATAATCATTGAAAATATAATTAATTTATTAAATAAAAGAAGAAAAAAAAAAAGAAACTTTTATTTATTTTTTCTTGCTAATTTTATCAAGTGTTTTATAACATAAATAAAAAGCACGTGGTACATGATAGCATCCTTTCCATTTTCCACCTTTTAAATTTAATAAAACTTCACCTTGTCTATTAAGATATCCATATAATTCTCCACCCTCGGAATCAACAAAGTGATCAATAGTATATTTTTGTACTTTATTTAACCAACCGAGTAATTCATCTGTTCGTTCAGGTTGATGATCAATAGCTTTAATTAATGCAATTAATGTTTCTAAATGAACCCACCATAATTTTTGATCCCATTCAAGTTGTTGTGGTGGTCGTTGTTCAATATCAAGAAAATAAAAAATTCCATTATATTTTTCATCCCAACTATATTCTAAGATTTTTATTATTGTATCAATACAAATTGTAGTTAATTCTTTATTATTTTGTCGTTCAGCAATATCAAGTAAAAACCACATGGCTTCAATTCCATGACCTGGATTAAGTAATCGTCCTTCAAATGAATCATCTCGTGATCCATCATTTGCATTAATATATTCTAAAATTAATCCTGAATCAGCTTGACGAAATTCAACAATTATTTCTTGTATACATTCTTGTGTTAATGTTTGTATAAGTTGTTTATCAATAAGATGTTCTAATTCCATCGATAAATTACACATCATCATAGGTAAAGCAAAACTTTTTAATTTTCGTGGCGATAAATCACTTGCTTTATTCCATTCACCTTTTGGATTTAAACGACGTTTTTGTATATCATCAAATGTTTCTAATGCAATTTGTTTATATTTTTCACAATTATTTTTATCAATTTTAGCCATTTGCCCAAATGCCATTGAAGCAAATATACTTGAAAATATATTATAGGGTTCAATAAGTGGATGACCTTGTTGTGTTAATGAAAAATACCATTGACCATTTATGGGATGTCGACCATATTTTTCAAGAAATATTGCGCCATGTTGTGCTGTTTTTAACCATTCTTTTCGTTCATTATCTGATACATTTAAATCATTATCTTGATATAATTTAGCAAACATCCAAACTTGTCTTGCTTGTAACCAAATGAATTTGTCGGTATCAAAAACTTTACCATAACGATCAAGACATGTAAAATAACCACCATATTCAGTATCGATTGAATGACGAAGCCAAAATGGTATGATATTTGAAAGAAGATAATCACGATAATAATGTGACCATAATGTAAAATCATAAGATTCAGTCATTTTTCTTCTTGCTCTTCTTTCACATAAAAGAAATAGACAAAATAAAACCTTCTGATAAAAATCTTTTATTTAGTTTGGTTTACTCGAAGGTTATCTAGACACAAGATATCACATAAGCATGAGAATATACAATTATTTTGTGCTGATAAAAATATATATTCAAATAATATTCTCCTGACTATTCATATTGCTCAAAATACAAAGATATATTTTTTACGTACGTTTTGCACAGTTTTTTACGACGCGTCTTTTGAAAAAAATTTAAAATTTTATCATCAATAGAGGCAAGATATATCCAAAATAAAAAATACTGCAAAGACTTTTGAATATCTGCCATAAAATAGCATAGAATTACACTGCAATGTTTACATACTAAATAGTATTAAACGTGTCTAAATTTTTCGAGATTATGTTATATTACTATCTCTACAAATGAAAAATACAACTTATTCAATCATAATGAACAATGTATAAAGAATGAAAAGATTTATTTCAAATATATTTTTTGTCAAATAGTTAAATACAAATAAAAAATACCCATAAACGTAAGTTTTATTAATATTTCCTCAGTATCGAACGCTGCTATAACATTAGGAACACTAGTACTAAAGTCACAACTATGTGAAGCATTATTGTATGTTAAATCATCTTCTTATTTAATCAATTTTTCTCTAATTTAACCTTGTTTACGCCACTAATTGTCATAGAGTCACTTATAATATTTTAAAAATTATTATAATATAACATTTTTTCTTATTCTTAGATACAAGGCATCATAAGTATATTATCTCTATATTCAACCGTAGTTAAATAAAGAAGAAAAAAAATACTTATACACATGACAAATATTACCATTCAATTATTTTCATCATATATATATGAGCATATGATACCGACTAAGTAAATAAAACTAATCCATTATGAAAGTTATTGAATACATTATACACAATCTTATTTTATCGACTAAGGTGTTATACGAAAGAAAAAAAAATAAAATTAGATATTAATCACTTGTTTTGCACTAATTATTGATCGTATGCTCAACCATACTGGGTTATTAGTTTTATGGCATTAAAATATGTCAACGTATTGCGTATATCAAATAGACGATAATAGCACAGTGTGTTGTTAAATTATTTAGTCGGGTTATTTTACCTTGAAATGATGACTATGAACTTAATATATAACAATGAAAAGAGTATAATGAATATAATTATAAAATTTAACTAGGCGAAATATCAAAAATGAATATTTTATTGTGAGTATTGTAAAAATATAATTGATTTAACTTCTGTAGAATTAGTCTGAACCATAAGAACAAAAACTACGATAATCAAGTGCCAGTCTAATATAATAAAATTAAAAGTTTCATATTATAAAAAAAATTAATTTTTATTTATCAATTTGAAAGATATGTTGTTTTATTTTCCTCCTTTTTTTCTTCTATTATTAAAAGAAAAAATCTCTTTAAATACAATATAATGTCATGGACAAGATTCACTATTATACTAGAATCTCATACAAATATATTTGAATCACCTATATTTTTTCTTTACCTATAAATGAACTCTTATTAATGCTTAAAATTGACGAATTATCCAATATAGTATTTCTCACTCTTTCTAAAAATTAAATGAAAAAGTCATCTCTTAACATATTACATATCTTTATATATATATATATGAAAAGTAAAATTTTATTTAAAATAAATTATATCGAAACTGTCTAATACTTTCGAACAATATAAATGACAATAACATTAGTTATTATTCACTGTTCATATTTATTGCTGTG